GAATGAGGGTTGTTGATGTTGGTCTTTTGATCATAAATCTTGTTTCTCAATTAAAATGTCATCTTTAATGAATCTTGAATTAGGGTTGTTGATGTTGATCATCATTCATTAGTTTATTTAGCCCATTTTCCATGTTTTGACCTTGAGTTGATTTTCTATACTTCATTTACATTTGTATATCATGCAATGTTAGTTGTAACTTATAACCATAAGGGTTGTGATACAGTCTATTGATCATGATTTTGGTATTAGTTTGCAATTGTTTGATCCATATTTGATTTAAATAGTGCATTTATTCTTGCTTTTATTGTTTCTCTTGCTTTCTTTGACTTGTTACAGTCTTCATTGGCTTTCCCCAATGGAGCTATTTGGAAATAACCCACCTTTTTTGTTAAGCTTGTTTTTTATTTGTGACTTGTGAGTCCCACTTGTTTGAAAAAAAATTAAAAAAAAAAAAAACTCAAATGGAAAAGTTTAACATTATGGATGCTTTCTTGTAAAAATCTAAATGCTAAATTCCAATACATGTGATTTCATTTGGAAATGGTTTTCAAATAACTACATTGCATTTGCATCCTTTAATGATCTTTGAATCTTTATATATATGGTAACCTCTTTTAACAACACATGAAATTGTGATAACATTGGGAACTTGTGCATCATGTATTATCTCATATGATTTTTTTTCCATCTAAGACTAGGATTTAGAATATTAATTAACATATTTGTTTTACAGTGTGTTTGCTTCACATGTGCTCAGTTCACAATGTGAACCTTTTTGACGTGTTTGTGAAACACAAAATACACGTAAAAGAGTTTCAAATTGTGAAATGAATACATATAAAACAAACACACCTCGAAACAAATATATGTTAATCAACATACATTAAATAGTATGCCTAGATAGAAAAAGATCATATGATATAACACATGATGTACAAGTTTTCAAGGTTATCACAATTTCATGAGAGAGAGAGAGTTTGTGAGGTTCAAGGGAAAACCCCAAAAATCAAAGACACCCTAATAACCATTCATCATCGGAGTTATGTGCATGTACATACAAATAATTTAAGATGTTTTCTGGTTTCTATGCACATGTGCATACTGTACAGATGAATGGTTATTTGGTGTTCTTAGTTTTTCATTTTTTTTTTGTGGTTTTCTCGTGAACTTGACCATATATATACATATACATACATATATATATATATATATATATATATATAAGTAATTAAACATATTGATGTAATTATATTGAAGGCGATCTCAAAAAGATGCTTGCTCGCGAGACAAAGTTAGAAGCCAAGGATCAAAGATTGTTGTTTAGAGGGAAAGAGAAGGGCGATGACGAATGTTTAGATATGGCTGGTGTAAAGGATATGTCGAAGGTAATCCTATTGGAGGATCCTGCTAGCAAAGAGAGAAAGCTTCTCGATAAGAGCAAGAACCGTGCTCAATTACAAGCCTATGATGCGGTTGCAAAAGTTAGAGCCGAGGTAGATAAACTTGCAGACAAGGTTCGTGCAACTTACATTACTTTAAACACTCGTTTTAAGATTTATTGAGTAGATTCGGACACTTCGTCTTCAATGTATGTTGAAACTCTCATCTCCTTAAGGGCTCTTTTGGAGAGTAATCTAACGGGGTTCCATATATTCTCACATGGTATCAGAGCCAAGATCCACCATCTAGACATCTTTGCATGAGACTTGACACCTAGAGACATCTTTGCCATCTGGCCTGAGTTGGAGGGGGTGGTGTTAGAGTCACACATCAGCTAGATTTGAACCCTTTCTTTTCAATATTGGGACTTTAAATCATTTGAGAACTCCAAAATTTATGAGATCCGTATGAACTTCTACCTTAAGGTTTTGTTTCACATGATTTTAATGTATTGATTAACATATATTGGTTTCACAGTGTGTTTGTTTAAGATGTATTCGATTCAAAGTGTGAAACTTGTTTATGTGTATTTTTTGTTTGACAAACACGCCAAAAAGGTTCATATTGTGAATTGAGTATATATGAAAGAAGCACATTGTGAAACTAATATACGTTAATCAATACATTAAATTTTAGCCATAGATGATAAAAATCATATGAAATAACACATGATGTCATGGTTCACTGAGATCTCACAATTTAGAGAGTTTTCAAAAGAAGGCTCCCTTCAGTGTATATATATATATATATACACACACGTTGGAACCCTCTTCTCTCCTTAAGGTCTATTTTTGAGAGTAATCTAGGCTGCTATACATTTTCACATGGCATCTCTACCACTCTTGGGACATCTTTGCCCAAGACTCTTAACACCCGGGGACATCTTTGTGCATCTAGTCTCCGTTAGAAAAGGCGTGTAGAGTCAATGTTGGCTAGACTTGGACACTTTCCCTTCAATATATGTTGGAATCCCGTCGTCCTCTGTGGATCTTTTGGAGAATAAAGTAACGGGGTTCCACATATTCTCAAATAGTATGAGAGCCAAGTTTTACCATCTGGAACATCATTGCCCTTGACTTGATACCTTGGGACATCTTTGCCCATCTAGCCTCCATAGGAGGGACATGTTAGAGTCCGACATCATCTAGACTCGGACACTTTCTCGTCAATATATGTTGGAACCCCCATTTTCTCCTCAAGGGCTCTTTTGGAGAGTAATTTAACAGGGTTCAGATATTCTCACAAGATCAAGTGATTGAACACTTGTTTGTGTGTGCTTCTTTAGGTGGTAGCCTTGGAGACATCGGCTAAAAATGGCATCAAGATTGTGGACAAGGATGTTGAAGTTCTGACCGAGCTACTCATGAAGGAGTTGCTGAAACTGGATGGGATCGAGGCCGAAGGAGAAGCAAAAGCACAAAGGAGAATCGAGGTTGACTTCTATAGAAAGTCAAACAAACCACCTTTCGTGTTCAAAGTTAGTTTCTAAACAAACTTGTGTGATGGTTTTATGACAGGTCCGTCGTGTCCAAGGCTTTGTGGACACGCTCGACAATCTAAAGTTGATGAAAAGTACAAAAACACATGTCGACAAAAGGGTTTTGCCTGCTGCTTCAGTAACGACGAAATGGGAAACGTTTGACTCGGGAGTCGGGAGCCTAAACGCTCCAAACCACGTTCAAACTTCGACTAAAATAACCAAGGAATGGGAACAGTTCGAATAAATGGTAAACCAATTTGGTTACAGGCCTCTTCAACAGTTGTATCCAAGTCCCCTTTCTTGCTGTATGTACATAAGTATTGAATGAATCTGAGGGATGATATAAATATTGTTGGAAATAAAGGTTGCCGAATGCCAAACTTCATTACTTGCTCGTTGAAAGCTTGTTTTCGGAAGTTTCGCCTCTAATGTTGTTAGAATATTGGATCTGCAGATATTTGCTACATATCCTTATTTTTGTTCCACATATTTTGGTGGGATTGACAAAATGCATGTTTGTCCTACTGAAGTATCATATGCTAGTCTAATGTTACATCACATGCAGGGTCTTGGGTGCACCCAATCCACTTATTTTTGCAAGTCGAACCTCTTTTGAGAGGGTATGAAAGAGTGAACCCGCTAAACTTAGAAGGGTTCTCTGGAATATTAGAAAATAAAAGGAACATTAATTTAAAAACCGAAAAAAATCACCCTAAATCAATCAAAAGCCCAAATTCGAGGTCCATCACCGACAAAAAATGCATTTATGTCGTTCAATGATCAAATAATATGTTTGTATAGTTGAAGGATCAAATAGTAAATAGTTTTCTAGAATGATCAAAAAAGTGACAGCTGTGGGATTTGAACCCACGCCCCTTCGGACCAGAGCCTAAATCTGGCGCCTTAGACCACTCGGCCAAACTGTCTTGACGATTATTAATCCAATAACTTTATATATAGAGTAAAAAAAAAGCATATATTTACCAATTAATAAATAGTTTTATAGATTAAGCATTTTTTTTTGTTTAAGCCGTCTTACTATTAACATAAAAATTGGATTTTAATCGTAACAGGCCGTTTATCAAATATTTATTTAATAAGTGTTTATCGGGTGTCATTTCTTTTAGTGAGTGGCACGACAAACACCAAAAATATTACCCGGTAAGTGTAGAAAAAGATTTATCCAAGTAATGTTTACTGTATAAAAGACGCTCAACAATAGTCCATTTTGATGGACGATAATGTTAACTAATAAATAAGGATGATGCTATTGTTGGTAAAATAGATTCCGAGACAAAATACGCTCCCCCATTTTTATTAAAATTTCCCTTTTAATTGTTTTATGGATGCAAATATATTATTATTATCATTTTTTTAAGTATATAATATTTATATACGATAAATAGAACAAATAAACTCACACACCCTACCCACCTTTGATAAAGTTTGAACCACCAACGTGTTAGGAAACCAAAAACTTACATACCGCTAGACCAAAGACCCTTTGATAACCTTCTTTTTGCATCTTTTTATCGCCGTGACTTACAAAAACTTTTTTTTTTCAAGAACCTTTATATTATGGTAGTAATTTACACGAATCCCATTTCTTTTGCTAAATTTAATATAGATATATAAGACTATGGGATGTTTATTTTTTTTTTCCCCCATTAATCCCCATATCAGTTATATTATTTGTCCGGATAAATTTGTTTGTCAGAGGGACGGAAACGGTAGGTTTGAGGAAGGCAAAAAGAGGGAAATTTACGCAAATAACCATTTTATAAGATAACTTTAACTTTTTAGCCATTTTCAAAGCTCATCCCTGAAATAACCAAAGTTTACAAAAAAAACTTTATGTATGAAAATGATTTTCTGTGCAAAGTTTATTTTCAGATGAAGAAAAGAAGAAGAAAAATTTAAAAATGAAACTCTACACAAAAATAGGGAAGTTTACGCAAAAGGAGATTTTACTCAGAAAATTTATTTTATACATAAAGTTTTTTTACGTGAACTCTTTTTTTTGCGTAAAACTCCATCTTTTTACGTAAACTTCTTTTCGAACTTATTTTTCTTTTGACCTAAAAATAAACTTTATGCATAAAATCTTTTTCTACATAAACTCATTTTTTAACTTATTTTTCTTTTTTTGACCTGAAAATAAACTTTACACAGAAAAATAATGTGTACAGTTTTTTTTTTTTTGTAAACTTTTGCTATTTGAGGAAATGAGTTTCTAAGATCGCTAAAAAGTGAGTCATTTTGTAAAATGGTTATTTGCATAAATTTTCCCAAAAAGAGGGTTGGATTATTTATGGGGCATTTCTGGTATTAATTTGTTTGAGGTTGCTTAACGAGGGCAAGTGATGGATTCTGGCTTATTCCATATAGCCATTTTGGCTTAATGTCTTAATGATTAAGCCATAAAGAAACACTCCTGTACAGGTGAGCGAATAAGCCATACAAACCATCAAAACAAATTAAACTCCAAGTAAACAACACCCATCTCCAACGCATTCTCCAGAATTTCTCTAAATGGAGAATCCAAAATCAAAATCCCCAAACAAAATTATTCAACTCTAACAGATTCTCTATTTTAGAGATTATCACATTAATTATAATACTAAAATATTTATATATTTAGAAAAAAAATATCACTTCTCTCTTCTAAACATTTAGCTTCAATGACTCTTATTAGTTGGAAAAAAAAACTCATTTCTAGTAATTATTTTTGAAAAGTTATCAAAATTCTACAAAATTGAGATTCTTGAGATTTTGAGTGGCTCCAACAAATTTCCCGAAATAGAGAAAATATGAGAGATGATAAAATTCTTCAAATTTGAAGAACTCTACAGAAATATTTACTTAGAACAAAGTAACGTTTTTTTTTTTAATATTCTCATCAATAAGAATCTCTGAGAGTAAATTTTAAGAGACACAAATAACATTTTATTAAAGTTATTAAATATTTTAATAATATAATTAAAACTATAATAATCAAACTAGAGAATCTATTGGTGTTAAATATAATTCTTTTTTTTAAATTTATTTGGAATATGTTGAAGATGCTCTCTCTCTCTCTCTTAGTTTTTTCTATTTTGAAGAATTTGTTGAAACACAAATTTTTTTCAGAATTCCCCAAATTTGTTAGGTTCATATGTTTTGGTTTCACCAACTCTTGGGCCAAAAGCTTTGGACATGTTTTGTTTTGATATGGGCAAAAAGGACCAATTCATGCACTACACATGTAACCATCATCATCTTGCAATCTTCTCAGCTTTAAATGTTGATACTCAAAGCTCTGTCTTTTAGCATGAAGAGCAATCCAATGGGTACTAATTCTGATAGCAAATAGACACTTTGTTGCCATCCCCAATTGACTACTGAAAAACCAAAACTAAAAAACAAAAGTTTGGGGTCCCAAAGAAAGAAAAAGACAAAATAGAGGACCATACCATATTTCACAACTTCTAAGATTAAAACATAGAGTTTTCAAGAAATTAATCAAGAAAGGAGAAACTGAAATGGGTGATGAGGTCTTACCAGCAGCACCTGCAATGGCGCCCACTCGTTGTGTTCGTAATCGTCGTTATGCTGTTGATGGAGAGATCATGGCCATCGTTGTCATTATTGTTTTCTCAATCTTCATCTTCTTCCTCATTCTCTCCCCTCGTCTCATCCTGCTAAGAAAAAGTAGAAGTAATTCTGCACCAGCAGATCAGGTGCAGAATTTCGGTAGCCAAAGGAACTGGAATCATGAAGATATCCTTTGATTCTCAGAGATATACATACACACTCACTCTCTCTCTCTCTCTCTCTCTCACACACACACACACAAAATAAGGGCTAATTGGTATGTAAACTAGAAGGTAACTGGTTGTTAGGGTAATTTCTGTTGATTGTCAGCTGGTAGAATAGTTTGGCGTTTGTAATATAAATACAACAGTATGCAGAAATGCTTACATATATGTGGCTTTCAGTTGATCTACAAGTATTATGTATTTCATCTACATATTGTTGTATTTATAGTACAAACTCCAAACTATTCCGCCAACTAACAACCAACAGAAGCCATCCGTAACAACTAATCATCTGTTAGTTTAAAATACAAATTACCAATTAGCCCTTATTAAGTTAAGAGAGAGAAGAAGAAGAAGAAGAAGAAGAAGAAGAAGAAGAAGAATATCACCTATCCTTGCGTTCGTCATGATCCATTCTTGTACGAGGTAATAGACACTCATTCAATCATCTGTTGTACTCATTGACTTTTAAGAGTCAAACTTGTACTTAAGAATATTACAATTATTGTATATTTTCCAACAATTTTAACCACAATTCTTTTTTTATACATGATTCATGTTCTACATCGTTATGCAAGTATCAACTCTTTCCCATATATCAAATACATTTGTGCAATTTTAAAATTGAACGCAACTTGTTTGACTATGGAAGTCAAACCCTACAACCAAGAATTAAAAGGAGTTGCAACATGTACTTTTACTAGCTCTATTGTATTAATGTTTTACATGATCTTGGTAGTTTTGCCTACTTTGCATTGCGGTTGAGTTAAGGTCAACATCCATCCGACCCCTGAAATGCCCTATTTTCCAGTGAGATATACTGGGTTTGGTTGGTTGCGCTCATGATGTTTAATTGCCTAATATTGAGAAGTCAAAGTTAAAGATTAACTGCGAAGCTGAAATGTCTCAAAACTCAACTTCCAAACCTACGGGCCAAAAAAGGAGAACGAAAACTTGAAGGCAGGGAGGTCTATTATCAATACAACACGACTAATGCCGGAAGAGTGTTGATTAAACATGATACAAGTACATAAGAAATTGTACATAGGAAATCAAACATACGCTGTGGGATCAAAAAACTAACATTCCGACCAAAAGAGATGCGAGCGGCACCGTGAGATTGTCGTCAAATTTCGTGCTTAAGGGGTGAGATTCGACCAATGCACTAGCAATAGAAACGACCAGGAAGCCAAAGATCGTTTGCCAACTTTCTTCAACGAAGCCAAACATGGAGAAATAATGCATGTACCTATTACCAACGTTTTCTATCAGATATTTCCGATGCATATATATGAGGGGTGTCCTAAAATAATCGAGCTATTGACTTTTCAAACAATCGTACTTGGCTTTTCCCTCTGCAAAACTAAAAAGCAAACTATCGATTGCATAAATGGGCACTTCTCGATGAAAGTGCCAAGTACAATGGTTTTCCTTGTTGGGCAAAATACAACAAAGCTTGGTTTAGTTCCTATTCAGTTTAATGAAGAGTTTTTTTTCCTCAATTGGTTTAACGAAGTTTCAAAAATTCCTATTTCTTTTACCTATTTTGACCGGTAAATTGTTGATCTTGTAGAATTAGATGACATGGATGTCAAGTTTATCATCCACTTTGCCCTAACCCTTTTCATCAAATGTTACAAGATTAGCATATAACTAGTCAAAATGGGTACAGAATAGGAAATTTTGATACTTTGTTACATTGATTGGAGAAGAGAAAATCTTTTTTACACTAAACAGGAACTAAACTAAACCAAACTTTGTTGCATTTTGCCCTTTTGGATTTACGTTAATATGATTGGTTAAGAAGTCGAAAACTAGAAAAGTATCTGTGTAAAGATTACCCGACAGATGCAATGAAACCGGCAGCTGCCATGGCAATGCTGCCTGCAAAAGATTTGTCTTTGTTATATGGGATCTTCTTCTTTCCAAATTGCCTTCCAACAATGTCAGCCATACCTGTAGCAAAGATTTCTTTTAGAGCGTGTTTCGAGCATTACACTGCTCCAAATTAATGAATAAATGCGATGTTACTACCACAAAATTGGCTTTATAGGACGCCAAAGATGTCTAAATGAGTTACATGTTAGGACGTATTTGAGCATCCAAACAAGTTTTTTAGGACACTTTTGAAATAAAATGTCCTATTAGCTACGACAACTTTTTTCAAATAATGTCGTATAAAAAGACTAATTGGACTCCATATTTCAAAATTGTCTTAAAAATTTGTTAGGACACCCACAAGCGCCCTATCAACTTATTGTAACACCTTTACATAAGATGCAAAATTGTCTAGCCCTATCAAACAGTCTATTAGGACACTTGGGGGCTGTTTTGGTTGGTTTTTCATCAAGGGGCTGTTTGGTTGGGTTTCATTAAGTCCTATATGGATAAAGATGTATGTGTGTATTAATCTCTTTTAGTAGATTAGGAAGGTTTTTGTTTGAGAAGGTTTTCCATAGATGGAATGAGCATGTTTTTAATTGGGAATGACAAGTTTGTAAAAAACTTAACTTTTTGCATAAAGCTCCTCCCTAGAAGCTTACTGAATAAGCCGGTTTCTATATAATTAAGCCACTACCTAACAGTCATGTATAGCTAACTGAATAAGTTGTGAGTCCCATTAAGCTCATTAAGCTGCTAACTAACAGATCCTAAGTCTTGTATGGATAAAGCTGTCTGTGTAGATTAATCTGTCTGTATAGATTGAGAAGGTTTTTGTTTGGGAGGGTCTTTTCATAGATGGAAGGGGAGTTTTTTTTAATTGGGAGGAGCAACTTTGGAAAAAACTTGGCTTTTTATAAAGAGCTCCTCCTAGAAGCTTACTGTATAAGCCACATGCCAGATCATTAAGCCACTACCAAACAATCATATATAGATGACCTAATAAGTTGTGAGTTCCATTAAACTCATTAAGCTGCTAACAAACAAGGCCTTAGACATTACAAAGCCAAATTTGTTGTAGTGTGTGAATATTACAAAGAAATAGGTACCATCTCCGGCACAAAGATTGCAAATTGCAGCGATTCCAATTGGGGACGTTCTCCAGTAAATTACAGAAGACAAAGCGATGGTGGAAGCATAGTACAATGGTCCCTTGATAAGTTCTCTAATGCACAAAGAAACAGCATGAAGATAAGCGATCAGAATAGTTTCAAAGTAGGTTATATATTTCTTAACAAAATATTCATTTAATGTGAAATACGTCTCTAAATCTCTGCAAGAAACTTGGCGGATAACAACTCAGGTTGTAGCGTACAGTTAAGGCTCGGTGAGATATGGTGGAAATCTCATCTTCCCCGGTTCGAATCCAGACGCTGCCAAAGCCCTTGTGACCATGGAGGTTCACCTGACTCCAGGCCATCCGTGGTCGCCTAGAGGATTAGTCTGTGCACGTAAGCTGGCCCAGAAACCAACAGTTACCCAAAAAGATAACTTGTCAAATCTAAAGTTAATCATTCTTGTCCAATCAAGTCAATTTGAAGTGGAAGCACAGAATGTAAATGAGTGATGAACTTGTCAAACTGATGAATTTGGCTTTTTGTTGGAAAAAAAGCATCGTTCTTGGGAAAATTACAAAACATTTTGAAAAAAAAGAAGTCACTACACTTCACAATAATGAATTGTTTGATAAAAGTTACCAAGCACTCCACACAAGCCAATATATCCTACTCGGAGGTGGGGTCCTTGGGGTAAGATGTAAGCAGACCTAACCTCTACCCAAAAGGGTAGAGGTGTTGCTTTCGTGAAGACCCCCGAAAAGTGAAAAGTGTGTGAAAAAAAGAGAAATACAGATATGCTAAAATTTGAAAAGCTAGATATGAGTAAACAATAGCAATACAAGTAGAAAGACAGATATGCAATTACAAGAAAAACATACACAAGGTGTGGAAACTAAATATACTTTGATACATCTATATTTCCTAATTGCTTAACCACACCTAATAGCAATAATTGCATAGCATATATTTGAGCAAAAGGGTTGATTACCGGCAAACCCAACCGGCCCCATACGAAACCCCCCCTCCCTCTAGGAACCACATGTGAGGAGGCATTTTAGAGCGGCTGAGGCTAACGGAGGGGTTCAAGCCCGTTTCCCACAGGATTCGAACTTGAACATGTGTATTTGAGCAAAGTTGTTCTGCCCCTTTGCCAACTGAGTTACATGCCCGAGGGCTTGCATAGCATATATTGAGATGACTAAATGAACCTGTGGTCTCCATATCTGCTCATAGATTTCACAGCTGCCTCATCTTTCCATATCCCAAGTCCTATGAGAAGCACTTTTACAATGTTGACACCAGGAATAAGAGCTGCTAAAACTGCTCCTCGATGGCCTGAACTGCAAAAGTTTAAAATTAACTTAAATACTCTCGATCATTATGCATAAAATGACAAAAATGTCCGTTTCCTTTGTCATGTATAATTACCTGAAGAGAGGCCAGCATAACATGAATGCCAGCCCAATTGTGGTATGTACAAGCTTCCTATTTAGTTTCTGAAGAAGAGAGAATATGTCTTCAAAAGCATTAATTCATATATGAATAGCTTTAAGGCATTCAAAATTCACCTATAAACAAAGTTGAATGAATATAAGCAATTCAACCCAATTTCTTTTTCTGGGAGTTTCACCTCTTCATAGTTTCTACCACATTCCATTAAAGTATACTTGAGAGGAGAGGGTGGTACAAAACTTGCCCATGTTTGGCACGACATTAGGCTGGGATAGGATAGGACTTTTTGTCCCACCAAAGTAGGTGGAACAAAAATCAGAAAGATGGGACAAAGATTGGTAAATTACTAAACCACCCTTGTAAAATTAAAACCCAACCGTCCAGTCCTATCTAGTCCAGTCTCTTCCAATCCTATCCACGTACCAGATGCACCCTTAAGCCATATAAACAGCAAAAAAAGATTTGCTTCTGTCTACTCCCACCCAATAGGAGGGGCAGATTACTTGATGGAAAATCTGCTAAATGGACTGCTAAAAGAGCCATATTATTCCTTGCATCATGTTTTCTTGATTGAATATTCAAAGATGAATCAATTAGAAAGGGTGGATGTGTGATAACAACACTTGCTTTTGAGCAGGATTCCGTTCCTACATGGTTTCAAACCTTTCTTTGAAAGCTATGGGTTTCTTAAGATTGACCACTTGTTTATAGGGTTATATTCTATACAAACAAATGAAACCAACCAGAACCAGTAAATCCCACTCGAAAGTAGTGTCTGAGGAAGTAAGTTGTAAGCAGATCTAACCTCTACCTAAACCAAACAGACCCAGTAAATGCACCTTTGATTGCATGCAGCTAGAGCTACAGGAAGTTGTCTAAAAGACTGCATATTTGGTGTTTTAAGTAGTTAAATCAAGTTTCAAATGTCGGGTTTCAAACTTATAGCCTAAAAGTCAAGCATCAATATGTCTCCAACTTTAGAAGAAAGAACATACAGATTTTGAAACCACAAGGGTTGTGGCCTAGTGGTTGAGGTCCTGGGAGATGTGGTAGAATATCCCATCTGCCCAGGGTTCCATTCCAGGCGTGCACAACAACTATGGCCACTGAGTTCTTCAGTGCTGATTTCTTGCCATCACAATTTGCTTGGATTAGTCACTCTTCCAACAAAAAAAAAAGCATACAGATTTTGAGCTATTATTTTGCTTGATTTCCAAAGCAATAAGATGCTCAAGAACATAAATGCCTCGGACCATTGCCAAATTTTCTTACGAGTACTTTTCAGAGAAAAGGGATCTAGATTCTAGTGGAAGTGAAGGGAGTTAATAGGCCAGAGGTATCAGAAGCTTAACCAGGTCTTAGGAGCTCTAGATGCAATCAGCTACATTTTCATCAATTTTTTCATATATAAAATAGATTATATATTTGGTGCAAGTCAACACTAACATGATCATATTTGTAGTAAAGTGGTTGGTATTTTTGGCAATGTTTGATTGATGTTGAGATAAAAAGCAACACATTACTTGATGTTCAGAATCAAAATGACAGATGGAACAGAATTCAAGAACATAATTAAACAATGCCCTCAAGAAGAAACACTTCAATTTCTGGGTTTTCCCTATTTTGAGAAAACTCAATAAACATGACAACATTTACTACATAGCAGAGGTCAACAACTTGGGGAATTTCAGAAGAGATTGAAGTGCACCCACCTGGTCAAAAATCCCTCTCCTGGCAGTTTCTTCATAAATTCGAAGTATGGAGAGTGCAAAGCAGCCAGAAAAAGCCGTGGCGCAAATATCTCCGACAAGGGGATTCTCCGGGAAGAACATTGGTCCAGCAGCCATCGCTGACCTTATTCTCCGACGACCCCCAAAAAGATTCAACTTCCAACCGAAGCTAAATCGAGCAGTTACAGTAGTAGAAGATGAAATTGGATTGGTAAAAGAAGCAAGACTGAAATGTTTGGCTGTAAAACGGGGATGTGGTAGCCGGAATCTCGGATCACGAGAAGAACAGGACGAGATAGGGTAGGTTGAGTAATAATAGGAAGTCATTTTCAGCAAGGCAACGTACAAATTATCATACGCTACGCACTATGTACTCTCTCTTTGACTCTAATATGTTTTAATTTTTATTAAATAATTATACATATTAATTCTAGATTTTTTTTTAATTTTATGTATTGATTTTATTGGTGATATTTAATGTAATGCGTATTTATTTAGCGGTTTTCTAACCCCACCCCCTCCTAACAAATTTATCCATCCCCTCTTATGTTAATGAACAAAAAACAACTAAATGACAAATCTAAAATATTTACATTTTTAATTTTTTTATATTTTAACTTTTAATCTTAACATTTTTTATATTCTAACTTTTAACTCTTTACATTTTTTACACGTTTTATAATGACATCTTTTATGTTTTTAATTTGTGTTATAATTATATAAATAAATTAATTTTATATTATTATTAATTAATAAAATATTAATAATACATATTTCAAATATAAATTAAATTTATTAATTAAAAACTTCGATTTTGCATGTTAAATCAACATATTCACTAGTAAGAGTATGCTCTATATATTTTTCATATGCATTGAATCTATGTTGATACGGGACAATTCATGTACTTGCATCTTCAAAACGATAACATATCCAATGGTGCGTAAGTGTGGGCAAACAAAAATTGAAAAAACAAATGACATATCATAAATTAAATAAATAACTATAAATGTAAATATTAAAAATATTTTTCATAATATATAATATATAATAATATAATTAAGTCAAAAAATATTCAATATTGGGCTTATTTTGAAGGTATTGACGCGACGATTATAATGGTGTAACTTGTTAAAATTAAAACGTATTTTTTAAATATATTTTAATTGATATACGATTATGTATGTTAATTTGATCAAGGTATAAAATGAAAAATTTAAAAGAAAATGACGTAAAATAAATTAATTAGTTAATTATATGGGTATAAAATATACATTTAAATTTTTAAAATTAAAAAAAAAGTGAATCGGTGTGAGTGTGCGAGAGGAGAGTGATATGTGAAGGAGATGGTGTGAGAGGAGATGGTGTGTGAAAGGGGAACATTTGACAAGGGGGTAGAAAGTCATCACAAGGGGTGGCAATATCAACCCCTTTATTTATTGATGAGATGGTTAATAATAAGTATTTAATTATATATTAATTTTAATTAGTGACATTAAATATTATAAATGTTTCGGGGCTAATAATAAGTATTTAATTATATATTAATTTTAATTAGTGACATTAAATATTATAAATGTTTCGGGGCTAATAATAAGTATTTAATTATATATTAATTTTGAATTTAATTTTATATGTTTATATCAAATTATATATTGATTTTAGTAAGATTTTATATGATAATATTTAATTTTATATATCGATTTAAATTTTAGATATTTAATTCTTGAAAACAATATAAATCAATACATATGTTGTACTAAAAAAGATCCGAAAGTCGTGTGTTTTGTCTCATGTAAATATATTTTTTAAAAATAATATATATAAAGAGTGTTGTGTAAATGATATAATCAACAATGAACATAAGGTATTATAAGCGTCATCTTCATCTTCATTTTATTTAATTTTATGGAAGCTGTGTAATAGATGAACTATGAATTATTATATCCTAGTTAAATAATTTGTGTGAAAAAGTTTATTGTAACTTTTGACAAGTAACGATGTGTATATTTGGGATCAGTGTATATTATATGGAAATTCATGTTATATAAAACATATTTATTTATGCAAATATGAGATGAGGTGTTACAATATATACTTAAAATATCAACGAACAATGTGTACAGATATATGGTCTTACTTAAATACTGTAATCAATAATATTATCAATTAAATATAAAATTAAGGTACGATAAACCAGACAAAAATATTTTTCTTCAAAACCTTGATATGATGATTGTAACAAGTATTCATCTACAAAATAATTAAACTTATATGTCAAATAACACATTCAAGTAATAATATGTAATACTTCGCATATATTTATCTATTGTATAATAACACATTATTTCTTCTCTTGGACGTATAGCTCAGTTCATAAAGGGTATAACAATTTTTCTCAAATACACAAGATTTGAATCAAGAGGTACTAGATAGTAGTGATGGCCAAACCGGCCCGGCACGGGACCACCGGAGGACCAGGACCGGTTATAGGACCGAAATCTGGGACCGGTTTTGGATTTGTGGTGTTTCGCGGGACTGGGACCGGGACCGGCCTAGCCCGGTCCGACACGATTTTTAAAAAATGTAGCTTTTTAAAAAAAAAATGTAGCCGTTTTTTGGCCTTCTTTTGTATTTTTTGCTTTATAAACACTATATATAAGTGTATTGGTTGAGGGATTTACATACCAAATTCTCGATTCGCAAAAAACGCAAAAAAAAGTTCACGATTATCGGTTTCTCGCTATATTTTGTAAGACAATGTAATTTTAATTATAATAAAACGCATTTTTAAAGTTTATTTGATTGACCCAATTACAAATTTTATAATGTATTAAAAATATATATCATTAACAAATAAAAAAATTATTTTTTAATAATCGGACCGGTTGGGACCGGAACCGGGACCGGCGGCCCATAACCGGTTACAATAAAGTTTGACTGGGCTCAACTTTTTCGAACGGGACCGGTACCGGTTATGGCCGGTTATGAGAAATCTTAGGACTGGTTGGTACCGGCCCGGCCGAACCCGGGACCGGTTTTTGGCCATTATTACCAGACGGTAGTCATGACGAACCTTTTATAACAATGAGAAAATATTTTATTTTTTCGCAAGATAAAAAAATTGTGTGAAAATGCAAATAAAATACATTTAATTATTTATTTATTTCATCAATATGGTAAGTTGACTTGTCAAATATTTTAAGAGATTATTTTATTATCTCTTAAATATGTATAAATTCTCACTTAATAAAAAGATATTGCTTTACATTAATTAAATTGATGTAATCAATTTATTTCTAATAATGATAACCAATAAATTCAATTGTTATAAATTAAATTTTAAGGGGAAAAACATTTATCAACTTATATAATCAAATCATATGTTTTCAAAAATAAATATATCGTGTTAACATCTATTATATCTTTGAACTTTAAATATCAAATCTTAAATTTTATATGTAATTCAATAAAACTGGCTATTAATTATTTAAAATGTAATTACAATAAAATAAAAAAGTTTGTGTATCAAAGTGTAAATAATTAGATATTTCTTATAAAATTTGTGTGTAATCTAAATTACAACGATATTAAAACAAATTTTTATATGTGTTTTAATAACATATACAACTGCAAAAATACGAAACCAAACCAAATCATTGCTTGCACTTTTGAGTTATAAATACAGACGAACAAAGGATGAAACCGACATATGAAAATAGATTTTTGCCGCATAGATGGAAAGTGGATATAAGCTGACTCCTAATGTTGTTGAACCAACACATGATTACTACATCAGTGCAGTAGTTCAATCGCCACCATTGCTATCAGCTCAGGCCAATGATGGTGCAACGGTCGTAGGTGCCAGGAGCAGTAGTTTTGCGACTCTTGATGCAGCCATTGAACACGAAATAAGAATGGGTACAATAGATCCTAACATGGAGAAAAAATCCATGAGACGGTTAGAAAATCTAAGCATCTATAGTTATTAGAATCCTTATAAGACTTTGTGTTCATATAATTATAGTTTTATACGTGTCATTATTTTGATTGATACAGGACCATCTCGAACCGTTATGCTGCGAAGAAGTCTCAAGTCAAAAAGGCCAACAGAATGGCCGAGTTAGAGCAAAATCGAAGAGACTTGGAGGTACTTTTCTAGTTGTCAATTTTGTGGATCCTTAATTCACATGAATATTCTAATTATATGCAAATTAAATATAAATTGTATATGAGTTAGTTTTTTACCTGATTAGTTGTAAAAGATTTTAGTGTTATCAAGTCCTGTCAATCGAATATAATAAAAGTCTGAACATCAATTGAAAATTTTATCGATTATTTGCACATACCAACAACCGATGGTCCAATGTGAGAATGCATATATAATCATTCATTTATTTTTAGCATATAATATATTCTATTGAGACGATAATAGCTCACAAATTTTTACTATATATATTTTTGAGATTATGTGAGATTAATCTGTTTTTTTGTGAAACCCGTGATACCACTTTTTTATACTTGAAACTTTATATCAAAACATTGTGAAGGTTTAGATTTTTTTTTACCTTCACAGTGTTTTGTTGTAAAATTTCAAATGTAAAAAACGGTCTCACGGATTTCACGGAACAGTCTGCTCTCACGTGAACTTAACTCTATACATACACACACTCTCACACTCTCTCACACACACAATAAAATGTGCATACAAGTAACACATTTTGAACACTTTTTAAAATTACTATTATAATTTGTGAACATTTTTTTATAAACACTATTACAATTTGTGAATACACTCTAAATCTACGAGATTCTGTATAGCTTGTGAATATATTGTAAACACCAACTAAAGCCACAAAATTAAATCTAAACATACCACTTGTGAACCCACTTTGCTACGGAATTTCTTAAGGTTGCTTTTTATTGTGTCCATAATGTGTTTATCTTGTATACATATTTAATTATAAATGTATGTTAGAAAAAAGAGAAGAGCAGAGGAGAGATATTAATAGAATTCGGATTTTTCTTAAAAAGTGCATTAATTATAAAATTAATTATCTTTTTAAATATTTTAAATTAGTGGTTTAGAATAAATCTTATGTGTCTCATAATTTATGAATTCTTAAATAATTAATCTCGTGTATATATATATATATATAGGGGCAAGTTCATTTGTTAACCTAAATTATTGTGTTAACTTTATGAAATAATCATGGTCATTGATTTTTAAACTATATGTTTGAGATTAATCATATTATAAATTTAATTTATTACCTTATAATCTCACAAATATATGTGAACATAGTAGCTCGAGAGTATTTATGTAAAAGAGAATGTGCAATCAATATCATCGGTTACAAACAATAGAACTCGTATATGTTCAATTGT